CGATGATAATAAATTGTAAGATATCAAAAAAGACAATCTTTTAATCTGACGCTGTGCTTTAATTAATCGAGCTAGACTATGAATAAATTTATCTTTTTTATCCGAATATGATAAATAGTATTTTATTTTTAAAAATTGAATATTTCTACAAATATTTGACAACTCATCAAGAAGATCCCAGCTATTTAAGTATGTAAATTCTAATTCATAAAGATTTTGGAAACAAACATTAAATCTGTGGTGGTTAATCATGTCAGTCATCAAAAATCCATGGCCTGAATTAAAATTAAGAACAAGCTTCCTGATAGCAGTAGAATAATCTAAAGCAAACTTTATTAATCTTCCTACGAAAAAATGATATTCCAATTCATAAGACATCAAAATCTCTAAATAAGGATCCATCATAAATTTTAATTTATTTATAAATTTAGCGTAATTGTGCAATGGTTGTTTCTCCAATAATTTAAAATTTATTTTATCCATAAACAAGTCTTTATCCTCTTTTTCTGCCTCTACTACGAAACAATTAAATAATATTTTGAAGCTGCCATAAGAATAAAATGGGTTTCTCCATAAGGTTGAAATAATGATATTGTGCCATTGTCTATTGACTAGAATGCATGAATATAACGTTTTGTAATCTTTTTCAATATACTTGGATATTTCAATCAAAAGTTCTGGTGGTAAACTAGCAGCCATTCCTGCAAATGAAGAAAATTTAATTTTTTTGTTTTGCGTGAAAATAAACTAAATGTGAAAAATTAAATTAGCCAATCAAAAGGAATTTCGCACCAAATGCCCCTAAATTCAATTTCACATGTAACGTTTTCTTAAAGATCGATCCAAAATTTAAAGATTTATTTCAACGAAAGGATCTGCATAAATTTGGCCAATCAAATTTCTTCTAACAGTGCAGATCATCTATAATCATTAATTGCTTATATATTAGTAACAATTGGTCAACTTCTTCAAAATACTAAAAACAAAAAAAATTATATCATTTTAAAAAATTTAACCGATAAGTTTTATTGTTCATGACTCAAGCCTCAAAACTTATCGGCTGGTTTTTTCTTAAACTGAAAATTGGCTGAGCCTTAGCATGTTGAAAATTCCGAATTTTGTTATACACTTAAGAAATTGAGACTAAGTAAATTTCGGGTGACAACTTTTTTTCATAGAATATTTTCTACAACATACATTGATTTATTTGATTTATTTATTTCCTTTTTTTTATTAATAAATAAAAGTTCTTTACAGCAAAAAAGTTTAACGGACATATTACATTAAAAGAAAATCATTACCAAATTTGGTTGTGAGATTCAAAATATTGTAACGCGAAAATTATTGTTGCACTTCTGAGCATAACTTTCAAATTTAAAAAATCTATGAAAAGAAAATTTGAGACAAATTTTTTTTTAGATTAATAGACCCCCCTTTTTAAAGCTGAATTGAATGGTTGTGGGTTTTTTAAAATCTAATGTGTGGATCACATAATATTCCAAAAATTTTAACTTTTGAGTATAAATGATCCGCACTGTATTAAATTAATAATTTCAAAATTATTTATCTCGAGAACCAGTGATTCAAATTTAATGAAACACGGCTCATTAGAATAATCTCATAAATGAGATTCTAATAATAATAATTTAATGTCCACAGAATCAATAAATGGTGAGTTATTGTAATATTACGGTAAACCAAAATGTCTCAATGATCAGTGATTTGAATTACATCTCATTAGACTCACCTCATCGAGAGAATTCGAATAATAGTTGTTTCAAAATAGCCAGATATTGACCAAGTTATGAGGATTTGAAGCTTTTAATCGATGTTCTGTATGTGTATGGTGTAATTTCGACCATTTCGACTTTTGATTCAACTTTGATCTCTTGGGTTGAAATATTTCGACTTTTGGGTTTCAATTTCGACTTTATGTATAATACCCAATTCAGACCCGATTTGCAAATTGTAAAATGAAAAGGTTTGTGTTAAGTTTTGATTTTCCACATTTACTTCCTTTTATAAATTTTTGAAAAACAACTTGTGAAATGATGACTTCTAACCAAGAAGCTCAACGAAAAACCTTATTACATTTATAGAACAAGAGTGTATGTGACATCAAAGAAATACATAGATGGACAAACATACCCCTCTCTACTATATATGATAACCTTAAAAGGCTCAAAAATTCTGGTACAATACAGCACGCGGGTGGTAACAGTTGGCCGAGGAAGATTATAGGGAATGCCTCAAAGGCATTGAGGTAATATATTCGTAGGGATTCCTCTATTTCAACAAGAACTTTAGCAACAAAGTTAGCAAATACAGGTGTAGAGATATCCTATCGAACAATTGGGAGACATTTAACCAATACTGGATACTTAAAAAAACTTACAAAAATGACACCAATGCTCACTGCCGGACACAAACAAAAATGGGTAGAATGGGCTAAAGAGCATCTTAATGACAATTGAAAGAAGATGTTATTTTCAGATGAGACAGCCTTCCAACTCTTCCAAAATACAGTAGAGCGGTAGTATAAACATGGACAGCAAATTCGTCCTATGCCTGAAGATCAGACAAAAATTTTCGCATGGACGTGTTGCTTTAAAGGAATAATGGATGCCAAATTCTATGTAGATATTCTCTGCAGACATGTCCCAGAAATCAGGCAGATGTTGGGAAATAGATAGTAATCTCAGCAGGACAACAACCCGAATCATACAAGTCACGTTGCCAAAGCCTTTTACAGGAGAACATGCCTGAGGTTATGGACTGGCCACCCAACAATCCTGACTTGAATCCTATTGAAAATCTCTGGAGCATTGTTAAGGGGAATGTTAAGAGGCATATGCCAAAAAATCAGGACGAATTGGAACGATTTATGATGGAGGGGTGAGGAAATATCCTCGAATTCACTATAATAAGTTTAGTAGGATCAATGAAATGGCATTGTGAGCTTGTGATTGAAAAAAATGGCGAAAGAATACCTTATTAAAACATATTAATAAAATCAGCTAGTTTTAGCTTCCAATGATAGTAATTTTGTTCACCAGTCGTTGTATAATGGTCAATTTTATAATTCTGATTTTTTTTGTCCCGCACTGTATATTGTTGTAGAAAGAGATGGTGTAAGTGAATCTTTAGAAAATGCAGCATATAAAGCAAATACACAATCACTTGTTAATTTTTGGGATAAATATGAGATATTATTAAAAGAATTGTGCAGGAATTATATAGATCATTCAATTCAAAGGCTTTTATGACTTGTGGTATCCAGAGGTATTTGATTTTGATGCAATTCCTGAAATTTCACCTCCACCAAATTATGTAGAATATTTGTTTGGTTTGGGATTTTTAGAAGTTTCGAAACAGTTTAGGAATAACATTTTTATTAAATATAAATTCTTGAAATAATTAATATTTCCATGTTGATTATTTGATTATTATTTTCAAGTTTCCCGTGATTTAAAGTTAAATATTATCACATTATATGGTGACAATACAATTGTGATGTTTATAATTTTATCCCTGTAATGTTTGCTATTATTACCTCATTTTGTCATTTTGCAATTTTCAACCACAAGATTATGAATGTTCTTGTGGACCAGAGTGGGGCTTATATCTTTTATGCTTATTTACTTTACCATGAATAGAATCCCTTTCACTTTTTCCAAGCATATCAATATAATCTACTTATGTCTGTCTATAATTTGACCATTTTTGGGTTATATCCAATCATGAAGGTTCTCACTCCTAAATGGTGCCAGTGCCTCTATTCTCTCCAACCACCGAAAATTTAGGATCTTGGATATCAACCTTAATTTCAAGTGGTTTAATGATACATAAGCAAAATTCACCAAGATGTTTTAATCCAGGTATTTTTTCACCTTTGAGAAATGAGTAATGTCCACTTGCTCTTCCCCAATCTGTTGATCTAATGTTGATTGACTGTGATTTGACTTTTTAGAACTGTTGTATGTGAAATTGAAATATTATGGAGTGGGGTGAAATTCTGATTGGCTAATTTGAATTTCACACATGTAAATTTGAATTTCACATATGTGAATTGCAAATTCACATAATTTCATTTTCACGTACAACAGACTAAAACTTTTCTTTTTTTGTAGCAATATCTGAATCACGAATACCATAAGAACCAATTGGAAACCATGGTCTTCAAATTTTTCAGACTTATTATCTCAAATTTTTTTTATTTTTCACATCAATATTAAGTGCTGCCAAACATTTGGTATATGTCCAATGAGCAGTACCAACCCCAAATTAAGATAAAGCATGATTTTAAGAGCTTTCCTGAGTGGAGGCTTTTAGAATGAGAAGCTGTGTCCTTGCTTTTAGAAAAGTATGATGAAATTACATCTTCTTTAAAACTCTTTTATATGCCATCTGGTAAAAAGGGGATATGATTTAAATCATAAGGTGTTAGTTAGTTTGAATCAATTGTAACTCATGATCCAAGAGCTAGTTTTTTTAAAGAGCCATCCCATTGGTTTGGATGACTAGTGGTCTTTGAAGATAACCAACACCAGTTCATGTGAGTTTTTGAGTGAACTCACTCCAGAATGGCTTACATTTAAAGAAATTGGTTACAATGATGAGTCACAGCCAACTGAGGAAGATTGCATATAATTCTTAAAATTCTTTTTTTAATTACTTTAATATAAGGAATTTATCATTTTATAATTAAAAAAAAAAAAAAAAAATTAAAAATAAAAAAGAACTTTGAATATATTTTTTTTAATTGTCTTAAATAAAAATCTAGTTATTTTCAATTTCTGGTGGATATTTATCTGCCTGTGACATACCACGGCACATACAAAAACCCTTTGCTGGATAACCAGTGAGTGCATTCATACACATAATCCCCAAACATTAACAATGACATACATACTATTTGTATCATGTCTATAAGTTGTACTTCCTAATGATTATTTTTTAGAATGAAAAAAAAAAAAAGAATTTAGAAAATTTTACAAGATTTAAGATTTAGATGCAGACTTTTGATTATTATTGCCATCATATCTTGAATCCCAATAACAAGTAGTTGTGGCATGTATTCCAGCTTCATTCTTTTCAAAAATTGTGCATGTTATTAAAATTGTAATTTTAGATTTAGATTTAGATTCTTTATTTCTTTTTTTTTTTTGATTAATTCAAAAAACAATCTTTATCAATATATTTAAAAGATTTATTTAATGATGATAATTTCTTTAATGTTTGTTCAACTATTGTAGAATTCCAATGAGATATTCTACTGTGAAGATATGCTGAACCTTGTAAAATTGTTTTTTCTACTATCTGATAATGATGTGATATTCAGAAGAACAAGACATTGCGATGATAGTAAGTGGCAGTGACAGCAACAGTAGCAGCAGTGGTGATAATAGTAATAATAATAATAATAATACATCATTTTACCTCCGATTATATTTTTAATTTCTTCCTCATTAAAAATTCTCTTGGGATCCTTAACTGGTATATTCTAATGTATCGTAGACATAAATATAAATTATAGTGATTATAATATACCAAGTTATCAATCATTAAACAAACCTCAGTGCCATTATCATCATTTTCTTCAAATTTTGGTTATTCTTCCTCTGACATTTTATTAATTAAATATTAAAATAAATATGTACGTATGAGGTTCACATGAAAAAACTCGCCCCTGTTGCACAGACCACTAACAAATATATATTACACAAATTTTTTTTATTTATCTCTATAATCTTTAAATAATTTTAAATTAACTGAAAAAGAGGAAAAAAATTATAATTACAAGAGAAGGATTCATTAAAAAGTTATTATATCATTATTAATAAATACTTTTAAATATTATATATAACTATGCATTATATATTTATATATAAATCATAGTACTAAATCTCGTAAATTTTGTGTTAAAATAATATCAGTTACACTTCCCATTATATGTCTTAATAGATTTGTGTCTGTTGCATCTGTGAAATGTGGATAAATTTCTTTTTTTTCACTACGATTAAGTCTTTGAAATTTTTTTTTAAAAAAATGTGTTGTCTGTTTAAAATTTTGATTATCATCTAAAAATGTAAATTTCCATTTAACAAAATTAATTTTTTTTTTTGGAAATAATAATAATTAAATATTAAAATTACCTAGAAAATCAGGAAAATATTTTTTGACAGGTGAAACTTTAATCTTTTCCCTAAAAATATCTATTTTATTTAGAAACAATATCATTGATGTATTTACAAACCATGGTGAATTACAAATTGAATTGAATAACATTAATGCTTCTTGCATTTGATTCTTTCGAATAAATATTAAAAAATTAAAATTATTAAAAAATTTAAAAAAATTTTCTAAAAATATATATAAATTTCAACAACATACTGAATCTTTATCTTCTACCAAACATTGATCATATCCACTAATGGCAACTAAAAATAATACTGCTGTAACATCTTCAAAACAATGTATCCATTTCTTTCTTTCTGTTCTTTGTCCACCAACATCAAACATTCTTTTTGATTATTGCAACATATAAATTGATTATTTAATTAATATGCAAAAAATAATAGTAATGCTCATAATAATAAAATTTATTTACCTGTATGTTAATGGACCTAAATGAAATACAGTTTCTACTATACCAGATGTTTTCATTCTACATCTTAGGATGTCTTGATCAGTTGGAATATATGATGAAGAAAATACTCTATCCAAAGAATCGAAAAAACTTATTTTATACATGTAATAATAATATTATTATTTATTATTTACTTAAATATTTAAATAAATTTATAGTTATAAATTATAATTACTAATTCATATTATCATGTAATGCGTATTGATGTCCCCTTTCATAACATTGTCGTACACCAGGATCCGCCCATAGTGATTTTAAAGGTTCAAAATAAATAATCGGAAATGGCTGACCTTTGGTAATACTTGGTGTCTCATTGAATAATGTAATATATTCCTAAAAAAATGGTAATAATAGTAAATGATATAAACTAATAATATATAATAAATATCATACTAATAGATTCAATTATTTACCATATTATCACTATTATCAAGTGGTATTTTAAGATATTCCATTGCCTCAATTACTAATTTCATTGATTGCATTATATTAAGAAACACAATTGATCTAAATGTTTCTATCTCTGCAGGGTTAAATCCTGCCGCATGAATTAATTTCATTTGTTTTAATATTGTGCTTTTGCCAGATTCCCCAGCACCTAATTAAATAATTAAAATAACTTAAAAAAATTTCATTTTTTCCCAAAAAAAATGTTTTTGTTTTATTTTTTTTACCTAGCAAGAGTAACTTTACTTCAGTCTTTAATCTTTTTTCATCTTGTTTTAATTGTTTAGTAATTACTTTATTTATAGGATCATTCGTAGACATACAACCACCCATTTTCTTCTATATACATCTAATAATATAAAGGAATGTTTAAAGGAATGTTTGGTGCTTTAGATACGAGAATAAGAAATATTGCAAGTGAAAGAAAATAATTCCAGGGGGTCAACTAAATTACAATTAATGATAATTTAGCTTTCTTAATAAATGCATATTTTTATTAGTCGTGGGACGTTGCAGATCAAATGTCATATAAACGTTACACGAATAAAATCAAAAAAAAATCTGTTTTTCATATAGCAAGCGATTTTCAACCATAATAAAAATTTTAGAGCCAACTAGAACTTTCTAACAGCAGTTAAAAGAAAAGGTTGGCTTAAATATTGGTTATTCTATGCTAGGTCATAAGCATTCCTTTTTTCACACTTATTTTAAGATTTTCTTCCAACTAGTATGCAGACTAAAACAAATTCAGCGGCAACAATTGTGCATAATTAAAACCGTTAATAAATCATTAATGAAACTTTAATCAAATCTTTCTTTTCTTTAACTGACATTTTGTTAATAGCCATCCTTGAAAGAAGTCCATTACACGAATTCATTTTTGTTTGAAAATATTAAATAGATATCACAAAGTTAATGAATTTGCTTGATACAATTTTCTAATTCATCCAGTGATATATATATATTATCAGGTAAAATGTTTCATTATAAAAAAAAATTAATATCTTTCTATAAACAAATTCTAAATATTTAAAGCTTGGAAATTAGAACTTACTATTGCATTAATTATTATTATGTAAAAAAAATTAAGTCCAAAGATTTAATTGTGCATATCCGAATTTCTTATAAAACTTATAGAGCTGGTAGACCAACTTCACATTAAGATTTTCTTCGAGTTTTATTTGTTTACCCTGGCAAAAAATATGTCAAAATAAAGGGTTTTCCATATATTTTGATGTTTTATAATTCAAGGAACAATCTGGTTAAATCGGGTAGGTTTGTGTATACTAGAGTGATTTTTTTCTTCGATTTTACATATAAATTATGCACGAAGATCATTAATTTTTCAAGAATTACTAGAAGTACTTTTCAGTATTTGTGTGAAGAATTTATTCCTATTTGCAAAGAAAAAACAATAATAATAGTGATAATATAGCATTTTGGAAACAAATACACTGATACACCAATGATTGCATTTATTATGTTTTTTTTTTGTTTTTTAGCTTAATGGAGTACTATTATTTATTCTTCCTCATCTGAGGAGGAGGAGGATTTGGCGAGTAAAGAAATGCATAATAAAAGTAATTTAATTTTCCCATTTCAGATATTTTCAAGGTTGTACAGTACAAATCGAAATTTTAATTTCTTGAGGATAAATTTATTAATCAAATCAAATCAAACTTTAATTTCTGAGGACGCCCATTGTTTACAATTAAATATACCACGTGATTCTCCCTATCCTTAAAATTGTGATTTTTTTGCCATATGATGTATTGTGTAACCGAACTCCACCCTTAAAAAAAGTTTAATTTTTCAAATAATAATAATATAAATGGTACGTATGATCCGTCAACAATGTTCTTTTGTGGAATTCAGATTAATTGCCAAAATTATAAAATTCTCTCAAAAAAAAATTGAAATATTTGATTCATTATGAGTGGAAAGGAAATCGGAATAATCATACTGTTTATCATATATTTAGGCGGAGCAACAATAAGCGGTGTTTGGCAATTACTTGGTTGGATTTATAGAAGTTATTATTATGCCGAACCTTCGACTGAAAATATCCGAAACATTCTTATTGTGAGGAGAACAGGCAGTGGCAAATCGGCATTGGCAAATGTTCTGTTAGGTAAAGAGAAATTTACTGAAGTGGGTGGGTCTATTAGTGGAACCAAAAGTATGTAAAAAGAATTTTTTGAGTACGAGGGAAATCGTTATTGCATAATCGATACAATTGGGGCAGGAGACACTTCCGGGTTATCTGACAAAGAAATATATACAAGAGTATTGGAGGAAACGGAATCAAACAAGCATTTTTTGTTTACAAATGCCGTTTCACCAAGGAGCAAATAGAAGCTTTCAAGTTGTTTAAAAAGCCCCTTCTCGTTAAGTATATGTCAAAGTTAACCTCCTATTTAACTATTGTTTGTACAAATCTTCCCGAATTTGAAGATAAAGAAAAATGCAAAGAAGACAGGGAAAAACTGCTCGCGGAGAACAAAGATATTGCTGAGATAATTAGGGATTTTAATATCATCCATGTCAATAATCCACCGCCAGGTTATGGGTATATGGTGGGAAAAGCCCGAGAACATTCAAGACAAAAATTGCTTAATCACTTGAAATGTTTGTAAATAGGAACATGATAATTACAGTCGTTATTTTAGTATTCATCATATGATCAAAAGAAATAATTTTTGGTGAAGATTTATTTTCCTTGGTTAAAACTTGTAATTATAGTTTTTTTTTTATTAGTGAGACATTTCTTAACTCTATTTTTTGTTGAAAACTTGGTGCAAATATTTTATCCTTTATTTAGAATTTTACACTTGAGCCTATAAAGCTTCAGAATCAAGATTAAAATAAATCATATAACGTTCTGTATATCTCTTTTCAAACATAAGTATTCCATTAATATAACTTTAACTTTGTTTTCAGGAGTTCGCATACTAATAGAAGTGACTCCAGGAAGTCATGCAATTTTTCTGATACTTAAATAGATCATAGTAAAATACATTCACTTTTATGGAATTCTCAAGACCTGAAATCCAATTTACAAATCAATCTAATGAATGTTAAGGCTGGATATCAGCACATGATATGGATTTTTTTTTCCAGATCCTTGGCGTATACGTAGCATCCGTCACAAGCTTCAAAACAAATATTACATACCCATTGTTCTCTTGAAATATTGCAATGTTATGAATTTCCAGGAATGAAAAATACTTGATTGTATTGTATTACACATAATGCTTTTTTTTTTGGATTTTATTATCATGTTGTTGTTTCTAGAGTTAGAACCACGAAGCTTGCATGTCAATTAAAATAATCGGCACAAACTCCATATTAAAATTATACCTGTCCGCCCATGGGAGTAAGCATTTACTTCCCATGTTCCAAAAGGTCGTCAAGAAATCTTTCCCTTTGAGATCAGAATCTGGTATAATAAAAACTCCTTCATCACCACTATTATTGAACATATGGGATTACTCCTCGCTATTCCCTTCTTCACCTTGTAACACGAATATTACCTTCATTGCATTCATTCTCTCTGATCCTCCCTCTTCCTTCCAACTAAACCATCATCATTTTCAACTAAACTTGAATTTTATTGAATTGAATTTATTTATTCTTGTTCGTGTTGATTGTGAAATTTGCTTTATAAGAGGAATAGATAAGATGGATAATAAAAAAACAAGTGTTTAATAATAAATATTATAAAATATAATGAATGTATTAGTATTTTTTTATAAAAAAATAAAGGTATTGATTTTATGAAAAAAAAAATTATTGTTACAAAGAGACCTTTCTTTTAATTGATCGAATTAAAAAAACAAACATATCTCTTTCCTTTTATGAGTAAAAATCATTATTTTATTAAATAATTACAGTCAAACATCTTTTCAACGAATTTTGCTATATAAATTACGCGGTTAGTACGATTATGTACCATAGATTCGTTGAAACGAGGTTTGCCTGTATAATTATACTTTTAATAAAGCAACGTTATTTCTAAAACCAAATGATGTTTTATTACTTCTCGTACTATATTTAAAGCGGTGATGTCATTAATAACCGAAGACATAACTTTTCAACTGGTAATTCTTTATAAAACCATAGCAAAAACTTTGCAAGGAGATAAAATAAGTCGGTCGCTTAAAATTTCATTTTGCATGATCTTAGTGTTGGACGACGTAATTTTTTTAATTTATTATTAATATTTATAAATATTAATATATAAAACTATCCGTATGTGCATGTATTTTTTTATTTGCATTAGACTAGCATTTACCTAATTCTTGTAATAATATTTTGGAACTAACATTATCAGTTTGCATTTTCTTATTTGGTATCTTACTGTCGAAATAATGCTAGTATTGTTTTCCCTCTTCTTTACTTTCCTTTCCTTGGTAATTTATTTTATCTTACTAATAGATACAAGGCAATTCTAATTATGTCACAATTCCTTTTACTGCTGAATTCCCCTAACTTTTATTGGCATCTTTTAACACAAGAAAATTTATATTGGCTAATTATTGAGCCTAGTCTTCCTTGACTAGCTAAATTATTTGTTTTATTATTTGCGAAAGTGATTATCCTGTTGCATAATTTCTTGGAATGGCATTGTCTGTGTGTCCTTGTAAAGCATTTCATTATTTAATTTATCAACTTAATATTCAATTAGTCTTGAATTTACTGTGTGTGAAATCTTTGTTTTTTTTTTTAGCTTAAATGGTTTCTTGGTGATAATATATATATTTCGCTTGATAATTGTCTCTCTTCTCTTGCGCGTTGCAAAGTTCCGTGTGGGAACAATGAGGTTATTTTTCGCTTTTATCGACGACGTTCTTGGAATAAATTAGCGTACTCGACTTGGGTAATATTTGGATGACATCTCTTTCGACAATTCTCACGTCCATATTCCCTTCGGAATTATTGGTTCTCTCTTCATGTAAATCATGGAGACTTCTTACCAATCCGTTTTCAGTTACATTTCTGATTACGTATGCTAAATTGTAGTTAACTGGCTTTGTAAATCTCTTTGACAGGCTTAGGATTGAGCTAATTCTTGTTCTAATTGTTGATAACTAATCATGGCCGGTTTGGAAGTCTTGGATAATTAGCTGCTGCGGTTTTCTCGGCTTCTCCAACAAGTATTTTGTGCTTGTTCATTAGTTAATTAGCCTTGCGCTTGGGAAAGTTTGTTATTTAAGTAAGTTGTTTTATTATTATCTTCGGGAATGGCAACAAAAGGCATGTTAATGGAAGATCATTTTTAATAAATAATAGCTCTCTTAAAATTACTGCCAAAATTTTTTTGATCCCTGAAATTTTTTGTTGTCCCATATTTTAATTAATATTAAACTTGTACACAGTATTAGCTAACTGTTTCTTATTGTGATATTATTTGTTATTAGATAATCAAAAAAAATTTTAAATATCAATCAATAATTTAATTATTGATTTAGAAATTGATTTAAGGCGAGTATTATTTATTATTTATTATTATTATTTATATATTTTTTACGAATAAAATATTTTTTCTCACTCTCTTTTCCTTTCAATTATCATTTCATCACATATAACACTCACATACAAACACTTGTACACACCCGCACACACACATATATAATTAATAAAAAACATGACAACAACAGCATCTGAATTTTCAGATTCATTACTTGCCGATTTTACAAAATTGCTAGTAGACGCTAACGACTACGATGTATTGATTAAAGTAGGTGGTGGTCATGGCGAATCAACAAGCAACAGCAACAGCAATGCTGTTTGTATCAAAGCTCATTCATGTATTTTACGTGCAAGATCACCATACTTCCATTCGGCATTATCATCGCGATGGAAGAAAATTATTGATGATGATGACAATGGTGGTAATTATATTATTTTCGAAAAACCAAATATTTCTCCTGATGTTTTTCAAATAATTCTAAGGTGAGCAAAGAAGAGAATTGATTGGTTGATTGATTGGGGTTGATTGGGGTTGATTGGTTGATTGGTTGAATTATTTGGTAACCTCCAAATAGATATATTTATATAGGTAAAATATCACTTGAAAAACTAGACCCGATATTTACTTTGGACATATTAACGGCAGCAAATGAATTGATATTACAAGAACTTGAGGCTTCTGTAATCAGTTTTTTTACAAGACATCATGTCAACTGGATTAAAAATCATCCATTGCAATTGCTATTCCACACAGTATTCAAACTAGAGTCATGTCATAAAATTCAACAATTATGCCTCGACAACATTTGTAATGATCCTGATATAGTTTTCAACTCTTCAATCTCCAAATCAATCAACGAATCAATCCTTCTCCAATTACTTAAACGTGATGATTTGAGAATGAATGAAATCAAGCTGTTGGATTATTTGATTCAATGGGGTGTAACCAACCTTGACATTAATTGTAATGATGGTAATGTTGTTGACAGTGTTTCAAATTGGACACAGAATGAATTTGATGCATTGGATTCTATTTTGAAAAATTGTATCGGTAATATTAGATTTGAAAATATTAATCGTAACGAGTTGAAATCAATCGGACAATTGAAAAATTTTGAAAAATTTTTGGAAAAATATTTTTTACAAAATGAAGAAAATTTAATCGATTCAAACATCATTAATTTAAATCACGCGATACTTATTTCTGATTGGATTGATCAAAAAGATATAAAATACAATGATAATAACAATACTACAGTTTATGACAAGTCATTAAAGTCAAATAATAATAATAATTCAAATTATCAAAGTCTTCATCATCGTCCAACTCTTAAAAAAGACAACAAGCAACAAATTTATCGTAGATCGCCATCTCACAAGTTCAAATTATTATTACGTGGCAGTCGAGATGACTTTACGGCAAAAACATTTCACAACTTGTGTGATAATAAAGGAGCAACGGTTGTAGTGATGAAAGATTCTATCACAGGTGAAATCATTGGTGGATATAATCCTGTTGGTTGGACAGGTGGATTTTATGGTAATTGGATTATGACTGACGAAAGTTTTATTTTTAAACTAGCATCATCGTCGTCATCAATATCAACATCAGGAACAACAACAAATAGGGTGCAAAATTTACTAGCACAAGAAAATAATAATAATCCTAAAATTAGTAGAATCATACCAAAAAATTCTAAAATGGCTATATTTTGTGCTGATATTAGGGGTCCATGCTTTGGTGGCAATGATTTGTGTATGTCAAATATGAACAATTTAAATAAAGATTGCACTAGTAACCTTACTTATTATGATTCTGATGTCATTAAATCAAACAAATTTGATGTGCTAGATTATGAAGTTTTCCAGGTTGTCAGGAAGAAAGAAACTACAAAACTGATAAATGGTTGATGAACTATGGATGGTTAAATTATTATTTAACGTTTTTATAATTATTTTTGTACATTAAAAAAATAACATTTTGGACAATAAGTTATTTTTCTAAATTATTAATATTAATACAACTGTTATTACAATTATAAATTAAATAAAGTTCTAGCCGACTTGGTGGTGATGGCGTTCCATCAATTGGTTTACCATCCCAATTATAGATATCGGGCAATTTTTCTAACAATCATTTCTTGGATCATCAAGCTTCAAATGTGGAAAATGTTTTGTGGTACATATGGTGATATGACAAGAGCTGGTACTCGAACTCCTAAAATGGTGAAATTATATGCCACTTTTAATGTTTGCTTTTTGTTTTATCAGGCGTGGAATATTTTGTAAATAAATATTGTATGCTTCATCCAATGATTGTCCATCCATCCTGCTGATGTTCTATATACGTATAATAAAATGGATTAATTAAATGTGTGACGATGATGAGTTTATTTCTGCTTGGATTTGTTTCTCCAGTAAATGAAGAAAACCATCCATCAATCAAAGCAAATTCTACTCTCCCAAAAAATAGCTACATTATTATTGATGAGTAATCACACCATAAACACCTTGTGCAAGTTTAACAAATACTGGTACTTTTGCTTAAATTATACATTTCCATTGGTTCTCTCACTGAAACATAATTGCTGGCTAGATATTAATTGGTTAAAAAATGAAATTTTAGTGTCATTCACTCACTCATTTAGTCTAACTCTAATCTAATCTAATCTTGTCCCATTCAACTAATCTAATCTCCAGCCAATATGTGCCTAACAAAACCAAGCATAGTATTCTTAGTCCATTCTGAGTTCTGACATGATGAAATTCATTGAGAGTATCAATCGCCATACAATAAATTACAGGAAGTTAAATTATATTCACTCTTCGACACGTGGGTAAATAGCACGTGACATAATAAATTAGTTACGTCATCACATTATAATATTAATAAACCAAAATATTGTTATCGCAATAATTATCATGATTGTTATGATGGTTATATTTTCGGTTTAAAACACATTTTTCCGAGAGAAATAAAACTTGTCGTTAAATTGACATGAACTGTACTTTTTCTTTCTTAATTACACTCATTTTGTTTGTATATGTTAAATATCAATATCAATTATTATGTTTTTAATTTCTAGTTAAGAAAATTAGCGTGGAAAGAGGAGGGAGCAAATAAACAAAAAAAGATATCTCTTGATTGTTTACTAATGATGAATCATATTAAGGTTGGTCAAGAAAGGAATGCATAGTTACGTTAAAACCCGTTTTCATTGTTAAATAATAATAATAATAATAATAATTTGTTTATACGGATCGTCAGTACAAAAATGGCGACTTCCTAACATGAAAACCCCCATGTAGTAGTAGTGTTATTTTATTATCAATAAAATGGTAACCTTCATCAGCATGAAAACACGGAATTCATAGATAAAAGCATTTTTATTAAAAAAAAAACCATAGTGATAACAACAACACAAAGAATTGATCGACGTAAATACGAGAATCTTGGCTTTCTCCTTACATATTAATATTAACAAAATTCGCAATCACGTGATTTTAGAGTAGGATTTCAATGGGTTGTTGACCCGGTATGTGAACATGAAAAACATGGGCTAATCATTATTATAAATGCGGAATAAATGGACTTTTTTAAAATAAAAGTGTTTATTTAAAATAGCTGATTCATTTTTAATCTTGAACTTTGCCATTAAACTGTACCATTAAAGTTTTCTAATGAATGCCTTGTCGCATTGAAAGGTCTTCTTTACGTAAATCAATGGATATTCAAAAAGTGATGTTGCTTTTTCATTCCAAAGCTGAGATTATTTTTCAACATTGCTTTAAAAGACTTGATAATGCCTGTGAAATGTAAAATATTCTGATCTTTCGTATGGTCATTACTTTATGGATATCAGTTAGCTAATAAGCTTTAGAGAGGTTCACAAAAGACTGTTTTATGAACATTTTAATACTAGCTATATTATGTTATGTATAAAGCTTCGAAGGAGCCAAGAAATAATCGACTCAAGTTTGATGCTACATAAATTTTTTCTTAAATGACGAACGCCATTACCTAAAAAACAATTTAAGAGTCACATTTCCTTCAACTCGGCTCGAATTTGAAAATTCAAGTTTTAACTCGAGCCTGTTCAACTTAGGGTTTCTATTCGAATAAGAATCGATATTACGAATAGAAACTCTAGCTCAACTCAATAATAATAAAGATTTTTGTGAAATTTTATACAGTTAAACCTCTTTTCAACGAATTTTTCTTATGTGTTCCATAAATTTGTTAAAATGAGGTTTAACAGATGCATCTATTTCAGAACCTAAAAAACATTTTTTATTAGAAGCACAAATATTGTCAAAACATGGAATCTTGAATTGTTCTCATTTTGAAGTTTTTAAAATTATTGTTATAATCTATTATAATTATTCAATTATATAAAATATTTAATTGAGCCAGTGTAAATTCGGTTCAACACAACTCGCTCGAAGCTTTAACTATGTGGATTGGGTCATTCATTCATTTACCAATTCAACATAAAAAAACAAAACAAAATAATTATTATTATTTTATATTTCCGTGTTTATAACTTATGAAAGTATTATTATCATGGGAATTGTTATTCGCACCCACGTGACTAAGTGTAGTAATGTGAACAATGAATGGCTTAGCCAAATAAATCGCTTAGAAAATGGCTTGATCAAATAAACCGCTTAGCAAAATGGCTTGATCAAATAAAATCGCTTAAAATGTGATGATTTTATTGGTTCATCTTTAACAATTTCTATTTTATATATATATATTAATATGTTAGGGAAGCATGTGATAGAATAATTAATTTATTATTATTATTATGATTATTATGATGCAAAAATAGAAACGCGATAATAATCGAATTTCGACCACTGACAAAATCTATTTAAAGGAATTATCAGGACTTGGAATTAAGGTTGTGAGTATTCCTTGTTTTATCATATTTCTTGATGTAAACATAAAAACGCAATAATATCAATAATTTATTATTTAAAGCATAAACATACGAAAAAAAATCGGCCCTGACAAAAAATCGAACTACTCATTTCAATTACTTCTGTACTTTATTGAATAAAATACTGCAAGTGTTCTTTTTTTAAGTTCTAAATTTTGTCTCTGAAATTTTAACATGGAATTTTTTAACAATTGCCTTAAACACAAAAACACACATAATTATACAAAAAATATCGAGGATTAGGATATAAAATTATATGTATCCATATTGTCTAGAACTTCATCAGTTAAAATAAATTATTTTTGGAAGGAAAAATTTAAATATAAAGTTTTTTAATCATTACTTTAAAACCTACATAATAATATGCTGATATAATTTTTATAATGTGGCTTTGGATTTGGTTGGTTATTTAAACAAAATTTACAGGTCAAATGTTTTCGTAACACACCATTTAACAACTATTGATTGGATACGGACTTAATTAGACTTTTTATCCATAGACCTCTACCATAATTAAATATTATCATTTTAATTTTGATTTTAATCAAATGATTTTGTGAAACTTTTTAAAATATAAACAAAAAGGAAAAAAGGAAACTTTACAAAATTTTACTTTGTTCCTTCCTACGTAAAACCATAAAATATCTCATAAATTAAAATCATATTTTTTTAAAAAACAGAAAAACTTAATTTTTTTTTTTAGGTTTTATCAATATTTGATAAAGCATTAGCCATTTTTTCAGTGGAACGTAAAATCTCTTCAAAGAACAACAATGCCTCTTGAGATTTATCAACAATGTATATTAAAGATTCACGTTTCTTCTTTTCCTCTTCAACAGCTAAACGATATCTAAACACCAATTCATTAGATACTAAACGTGTTTTCTTTCTGACTCGTCTAACAATCTTATTCATCTGTTTGTCAATATAATTCTCTTGTTCTAAAACTTTTTGAATTTTACGAGCAACTTTACGTGGTACAGTATTTCGAATGTCTAATACTAAATAATAAACAAGTCCAATACCTATATGTTTTCATATTAAAAAAAAAAAAAAATAGGATTAATAAAATTTTATTGATAAAAAAAAAATAGATGGAAAAATATATTCATACTAGCAAGTCCAAGAACTGGCAAAACAATTTTACGCATATTATAAACATTTAAAACACTGCCTAGTTTCAAGAAACTGTGTAATATTTTAGCATTAGTTCCAAGTGCAACAAGAGAAGCACTAGCCATACCAACAACATTTACTAATTCACTGTTAAATTTTTCATGAATATCCAAATCAACAAAGTCTGAAATTTCAACAGGAATATTGAGAGAATGATTGAAATTTGCAAACATTGATTCAACATCTACTTCAGCAGTGGTATTTCCATTAATATCGGGTAAATCTTCACCCATTGATCTAAGTTTCGTGATGCATTCATGCGTAGCATGAATTGAATATGATTCGGAATTTCGAATCTGTTCCAAAATTTTATCCAACATTGCATCACGAACATCAGATGCATAATTCCAAACAGAAAAAAATCCTGGAAATTCGACCTTGATATCTTTATGAACATTTCTAATTACTTCTTTTACTTGTTGTCCACACAACCTAGTGATACCATTACAATAATCATCAATCATTCTTCCTGCATTTTCGGCAACCTTTTTCTCGTCTTCAACTAATTTCTCATAATCATTTTTTCTCTCTTCAAGTTCCATATTAGCTCTGTTGTGTTCTTGTAGAGCATGGTCAAGGTTAAGTTCTGACAATAAACCAACATCTTGTACAAGATTTTCAAGAAAATGTTGTGCAGGTGCAAGCTTAGAGTTAGTCCGTTTTTCAATGATAAAACTATGTAGTGCTTCTTCACATAAATCAAATTGTTCAACTGGATCATTAGAAGCTGAAGAAGTTGATGGTAAAGATAAATTTTCAGCCGAAATAATATTATCAGTGGGAGGGATTTTAATAGCAGATGCTGACACAAAGTGCACCAATTCTTTTGCATTGTCATAAGTACGAGGCGAGACTTCTTTTATTTGTTCTAAAACTAATCTTTTGCATTTTTCTTTGTCCCTGATATTATCAAAACGATTGACTACAATAAAGAGATAAGCTTTTTCATTGGAAGCATTTGATAAAAATTCTTTGGCTGATAAGGTGAAATGATTTTCAGCACTAACAACAAAAATAATAACATCAATTTCTTCTTGTCTTGCAAACAATGCAGTGGTTTTAAGAGTGTCTCTGTTTAGTCCAGGACAATCAATCAAAGCAATATCGATAATGCCATTGTGTAAAAGTGAATCCTGTGCTTGGCGTCTATCTTTACAGTATACTTTGAGTAGAGAGTATTGTTGTATTTCACTGTTCATAACATTGGCTATTGAATTCAAATCTATAACAGTATAGGTTGAACAATCTTTTCTGTCATATAATTTTATATCCTTGATTGCATGTACCTCTTCAACATTATCATTTTCATGAACCCCCAAGACTTCACAGAAAAGGGTTGTACAAGGTTGTTGGTCTGTTGGCATCACTTCTCGTCTAAGCAAAGTATTTACAAAAGTACTTTTTCCAGCATTGACATCACCAGCAACAAGAACTTTGGAACTTTTGTCAGAAACACGAGTGATAAGATTATCGGTACGTTTAAGAATTGAAGTAAATTTTTTATCCATCAATTTACCAATAGCTGCGGGATTGAGACCTTTGACAACATCTTCTGCTGATGAGGTATCAGGCATTTTCATGTCAAGATTTAAAAGACCAAGTTTGGGCTTTAGATCTTCAGAATTTTTTAGAGGATAATTGTTGGCTTTAAGGTTTTCTTTAACATTCTGTCTGAAAGAACTTAATACAGGTTTGTTTAGTTTTGCATTAAACATTGAAGTGATCATGCCAGCATTCACAGTCCTGTTATTGTTTCTTCTGCCATACTCAATACAATTTGTAGGAAATGGGTATTGAAAGTTGTAGCCATTATCTATTTTAGCTCTAAATTGATTCAATATGTTTTTTGAATTGTCTAACAAATCCAAAAGAATCTCACTTCTAATTACATATGCTTCACTGTTCATAGTATGGCTGTTTGATACATTGTTATTATAGATATGTAAGTTTGGTCTAGAGGAGTTAAGGAGAGAAATATTTGAAATATTTTGTTGGGAAACATTATCATTGTGTCTTTGTTGATTCCTTGACAAGTTGTTCATCAAAGAGGAGGTCATATTGTTTTATAATTTTTTTCCTAAAAAATTTTTTCAAAAAAAAATTAATGATTAATTGGTTTCCTTATTAAGAAATTGTTAGTCATCTAATTTCTTTGATAAATTTATTTATTAACAAACTAGCTGGTTAGTAACCGGTTAAAATTAACTCACTCTAGAAGAAAAAATTTATCATTGAAAAAAAATATCTCCTTGATAAAAAATCTTTATTAAAGAAATTTGTTTTAATAGGAAACCATAGTCAAAAAAACTTTAACCAAAAACAGGATTTAAAAAAAAGATGCTTTTTTCTCGTATTACCAATGATTGTGGAGCATTAGGTGTGACATGGCTTATAAATTGCCTTCAAAAAAAAGATACAACCGTGAATTAAGGTGAATTATGGTAAATATGATGTAGAGAATTTTTTTACTATAGTTGAACTTTAAAATGTATAAGCCCAATAACCAAAAAGCTAAAGAAAAAAATCTTTTATCCGACTATTAAGGAATGAAGTGACAGTATTTTATTCGTAACAGTAAAAAGAAGATTTAAAGTGGCGCGACTTTAAAGATCAAACGTTTTTGAAGTTTTATTTTTTTTTTTGAGGATTTTTAACAAAAAATTAGTGAGGTTTTAAAAGAACACATTCCTCATCATATTTCACAATTTTTTTTTTCTTTTTTAACGAGAAGATACAGTTTTTTTGTTAAAAAAGTTAATTAATGAGTTTCATATTAGTGAAAGAATTCAAACGAATTAAAAAGGAAACAGAAAAGAGCCGCACAAATGAAATAGAACCACCAATACCAATGTGAATGCTTCCCGAAGAAGAAATTAAAAAACTTAAACATAACCATTTTTACTTGTTTTAAAACCCGTTTTTTTATTTGTTTTTTTTGTGAACCATATAAAAATTTTTCGTTTTTTTTTATTCGTTAAAGAGTTTTGTATTTGGTAACACATTTGCGTTTTGCGTGTGAATATGCGAATACCAGATACTTGGTGATTTCAAAAGGTTTGTTTGGTTGGTCAAAAGGTTTTTCGATTTGGCATTGTGTGTGAAAATTTTTAGGTTTAGCTTTTATTGATGAAATCGGCACATACCGGAACTAAAAATTTATTTATACTTTTTAAGTTTTAAAAATTTTCACAATGATACACTTGTTGTAATCATGACACATAATGTATGCACTATGTATATTGGATACTTTAATTGGTTAGTTAATTAGGTTCTTTAAAAATCATTTTGAGAATGATGTACCTTCTTATACGATGAAGTATAATTATATGAGATTTGGCTCGAAACTCCATCACTAATAAATCGTAATTTAAAAAGAATGCCTTTAAAGTTTAGTCAATTATATCAATCGGCATTCAGAAATTACATTTTTTTGAAAAAAAATCCAATATAAAAATAAATATTTTTCGCATATTAACATCATTAAAACATCATAATCGAATTAGAATGACTCTTTTTATAACAAGTAGCATTAGTAGATCATACGGTAAAAACAAATTTATAACACTGTTGTTGTTACACGACAAAAATTTATCATTTCCTTCAAATACAAGCAAAAATTTCTTTTCTTTACAACAAAAATTTCATTTTTCAAAATCAATAAATATAAATACCAAACCAACAAATACAAACTCCAATTCTACTACAATTAATAGTAATATTTCAATTGACCCAATTTTATCGAAAGAATTATTTGAAGAATTCAATTTTCCTTTTTATAAAAACAATTATAATAAAATTAAAATTAAAAATAAAAATAAAAATAAAATGCGTAACCCAAGTGTAAATGGTAATGGTCATAGTAATGGTCATAGTAATGGTAATAGTAAAATTGATCAAAATATCTTTAAATCTCCTTATCTTAACCAAGGTAAATCAATCTTTGGAAATAATGATTTAATCATTGAGTTCCTCCTTTCACACATCTTTAAAATTAAATTATTTTTACTTTACTCTGAATATTCTTATAACTCGTATAAATATTAAATTTCTAAATGGTTAAAGGAACTTCCACACCTCATCAAACACGTAATGATTTGAACATTACTGGGCTTAGCCCATACGCTGTTGAATCAATCGAACAACAGAAGAAGCGTGCATTGATTCAATTACGGTCTAAGCCAACCGATTTGGATAAATACATGTTCCTTGCTTGGTTAAGAAATACTAATGTTAGATTGTTTTACCGTATCGTGATGGATGAATTAGAGGTAAATAAATAATTAGTTAGTTAGATAAATGCACACTGTATAGGAAGGTGCTGGTGATCTCTTGGCTATACTTGGGAGTTTACTTTATATTAATCGAAAATTCTTTAAAAAAAACTTTTTTCTTCTAAAAAAACTAAAATCATGTAGGAAATCACACCATTAATATATACACCAACCGTCGGAACAGCATGTTTAGAATACTCAAATATCTACCCATTCCTTGCGCCATCTGGTGTACCAGATGGCCTCTTCCTTTCACTTAAAGACAAATCCAATTTGACAAAAATCATAGAAAATTATCAACCATATCAATTTGACAAATCATTAACTCCACAAATTGCTGTTATCACTGATGGTTCCAGAATTTTGGGTTTGGGTGATTTGGGTGTAAATGGTATGGGTATTCCAGTTGGAAAGTTACAATTATATGTTGCTGCTGCTGGAATAGATCCTCGTCGTACTTTACCTATCACTGTTGATCTTGGTACCAACAATGAAAAATTTTTAAATGATGAATTTTATCTTGGACTTAAACAAAAAAGAGCATCAGATGCCGAGGTATATATATATTGTTATTTTTGTGAGTGAATGATTTGTGTATGTGTTGATTGTTAGCTTTAATAATTTACTAATGATAATAACAATGATTTTAAAAATCAAACCAACAGTTTTATTCTTTTATGGATGTTGTTGTCAAATCTTTGATTGAAGTATATCCAAAACTTTTAATTCAATTCGAAGACTTTTCTTCGGAACATGTTAGTATATCTCTCACATCTTGCAAAACATATATATATTACTTGTCATTAATCCATTAATAGTAATAAATCTTTTCTTATTATTCGTTGTAGGCATTTGGATTATTAGAAAAATATCGTGAAAATATATTTTGTTTTAACGATGATATTCAAGGAACCGGTGGTGTAATTTTATCAGGTTTTATGAATGCTGTTAAATTAACAAAAGATATTGATCCAAAGGAACATCGTTTGGTATTTTTCGGTGCTGGATCTGCGGGTGTTGGTGTTGCAAAACAATTACTTGAATTTTTCATGACTGAACACAAGATGAGTGAAGAAGATGCTAAAAACTTGGTTTGGTTGGTTGACACTAAGGTAATATTAAATGAACAATTGAATATGAATGGAAAGGTCAAAATGAATAGACGTTATTAATTAGTGAATATATTTTACCAACCAACATAGGGTCTCGTAACATCAGATCGTGGTGACAAATTGGCACAACATAAAATTTATTTCGCAAGATCAGATAATGGCGGTAATCAATATAAAACACTCGAGGAAGTAATTGAATATGTTAAACCAACTTGTTTGATAGGTTTATCATCTACACATGGCGTATTTAACGAGAAAATATTAAAAAGAATGGCTGAACTTAACAAACAACCAATCATATTTCCATTATCTAATCCTTCAAATAATGCTGAATGTACTTTTGAACAAGTAAGTATTATAATGATGGATGTTTTTTTTAATAGGATTTCTCAACTAATAACTAATTACAATTATTTTTATATTTAGGCTATGAAACATACGAACAATAGTGTAATATTTGCCTCAGGTACAGCTTTTCCACAATATGTTGAACCTGAAACTCATAAAGTACATTATCCAGGCCAAGGGAATAATATGTACATATTGTAAGTATTTTTTTATCATATATTATAAAATCAAATTGATTCATATCATATTTTACACACATATATTCATTCGCTTAAATATAACACACACTATGTTCAGTCCCGGATTAGGATTAGGTGCTATTCTTGCACAAGCAACAAAAATTACCGATAAACAGTTATACGCTGCAGCATCAGCATTAGCAAACTCAGTATTACCTGAGGAGAAAGCACAAGGGCGACTACTTTATCCCGATTTAAAACGTATTAGACGTGTATCGGCTGAGGTCGCTGCAGCTGTAATTGTGGAGATAGTAGAGGAAGGATTAGCATCAAACAAAGAAATGTTATCGCCTGATTTTAAACAATTATTAAATAATTCTAATGAGTCAAGAGAAAAATTGATAAGCTTTGTTGAAAGTAATATGTGGAATACTACCGATAATAAATTTTTCGATTCTGGTATTTTAATTAAAAAAAGCAAGATTTAATGGATTTTTAGTTTTTTAAAAATTTTTGGGATTAGTTTAAACAATTTTAATTAATGTAATAATGAACGTATGATGGATTAAAAAATTAATTGTATTTTTTTAAATCATCTTTTTTTCCCTTTGTATTAAAAAATAAAAAAACATAATGTGAATTAATTGAAAAATTGGCATCATAAAACATGTTAATATTAATATTAATATGGGCGGTAGACAAGCTTTCGGTTGAGAGTAATTAAAAAAATTATTTTTATTTTGTATATATATCATTTATGCATTTTATTGTGATAAAAGGAAATTGATGCAAGATAATTCTACTGAAATTGAAAATTTCTATGAGACAAATGTTAAACAAAATTATTTTTGTGTAAGGTTTTTTTTTAATCCTTGTAAAGTTCAATTTACTCTTGAGGATTTTGGAAGTGTTTTGCCAATAACAAAAAAAAACCGATTGAACCATTATAGAGAACTCTAAAAAATTAAAACCTCCATCAAAACATTATGTTACATCTAAAAGGTTGTATTATGATTTATTTATTTAATGGTTTGTCACTTGGTTGGATTAATGGTTCCCATGAATCAATTAGGAATGATTTTCACTTTGCCCACAGTATCACAGTAATGAAAAAGATAATTATTTACAAGTCATCACAATTTAAAATTATACAAGCTCGAGAATTTTGTTAAAGCAATTGGATCATGCATTTCTCAACCTTGGGCAAGTAAAATATTCGGAAAGAGTTTATTGGAGTAGTTTTTGATTTATGAGAAAATATATTAAATATCTGAATTCTGTTAATAACCAAACAAAAGATGTTCACTCTGATGATGATTTAGTTCGAAATGTTATTAATAATGCTGCAATTGAAAGCAAAGCCAAGAAAAAATTGATGAAAATTTTAATGAAATCTCTTATTTACTTGAACATTCTGATAATTATGAATTACATTTTCTTGATAATTATCTACCAGAAAATGCTAAGAAAAAAAGTTGATAAGTGGGCAGAAATTTTTATTATTAATATTAATAAATTTTTTTGGGTCAAATAAAAACCTTTGCCAACATTTTTAAATTACTAACTATATATAGTAATAATGATTTTCAAAAAATTCATTTGATTTCAAGATCTGCAAGATTTAGTTAGCTCTGAATACTTGACCGTGGAAATAAATTGTTTCCTGGAAGCTATCTTTCAAAATAACTTATTTCTTTTCTCTGCTATAACCTCAATATTTATCGTCATGTATAACTCCTTTGGAATCATTGACTCATCAATTGACCATAGATCTGGTCATTTTATCTCGTGTTTCTCTTGATGAGCAGGCTTATTTTTACATTGTCGTTTTGGAGGCTTATCGTGTTCACAGTAGTTGCTATTTTATTTTTGTTGTACATGAGTTAAAAAGTTTAAAAGGTTATAATAATTAACTAGAATAGCCTTCAAAATAATCATTCTCTAATAATACTTATTTGGATTGTTCTTTTTCTTTTCTTTATATATCTCGAAAGAAAATTCGTTGATCTTTGCCAATTCAAAAATAATCAGATTATCAAATAAAAAATAATTTTAACAAAAAAAAAATGTACAAGAGCACATTAAATAATGATGGAATATCTAAACATATATTGGATTCTCTTCAAAAAATTAGTGATTCTATTCATTTGAATGCGCACAAAGTTCAAGGTAAGAATTTTATAAGAATAATTTGAAAATAAATAAATCTATTTGACTATTATTAATTATTGTTATTATTAGGCGAAAATTTGCGTTATGTTTATAATTCTATCGATACGCTTCTTCAAATTGAACATACGATAATAAAACCACATATAAAAACTTTATGGGGTATAATGTTATTGGTATATATAAATATTGATTTATTAAATGGGACAATTTACATGAATTTAAAATAAGTTAACAAGTTTATTTCTTTTATTTAATATTCACAAAAAGCCACAAAGCGAATCTATAAATGAATGTGTGATGAGTTTGGGTAAAAGATTATTAGATAATTTTGCAAAATCTCACGAAATGGATTTTTATCTAAAGAGCTTTTTGGAATCATTGAGAAATTTGAACATAAAAGCTGGTGATGAGATTTTGAAAAATCCATTGTATTCCATGGAATTTTTAGAAATGTATGTGCAAGAATATCTTATTCATTTATTTTTATTTACAATTGAATTTTAATTTTTATATTATTAATAATAATATTTGCTTCAAAAAGATTTTCAAATAAAGTCTCTATCTATGTCCCAATGTCTCAAGCTTTAGAAATCATCACAATATTTTCATCTGAATTAAGCAATTATTTATCATCAAATCTTTATTTTGCTAAAGATGCTCAAACAAAGAAAAGAAAAATTTTAGTAGACAGTCAAGAAACGACATTAGCATCATCATCATCATCATCATCTCATATTATGGTCAATAATAATAATAAAATTTTAATCGAACCTGTGATAATATTACTTGTACAATTTTTAAAAGCCTTCAAAACATCAACTAATGCACTTTACAAAGAAAGTTTTCAAAAAGCATGCGAAGCTTTTTTTACAGATTACATCAATCCAATAATACTATCGACAACAACAGATCTCCTCACCAATAATAATGACAATAATAGTAAAGTTGACAAGTCAACTTATTCAAAATTGGTTTGGACTGCTCTTAATTTACATCATACTTTTGTGGACATTTCAGATTTATATTGGAAAAATACATCATCCAACAATAAACATCAATTTATTACAAATTTACAAAAGCTTACAATGCTTGAGGATCCAAAACTTATATTATTTATGGTATTTTTTTTCGTAGCCGACTAATTATTATTTTTTGGAGATAAAAAGAAAGCTTTCTAATAATTTTTATTTCTATTAAATAGAATAAAGTTTGTCTTCAACATGTTCATCAAACATTATTATCATCGTTAACAGAAAACAATGATGAAGATGAAGAAGATAAATCAACAAATATTAATTCATCAATACAAGATATTTTGAAATCTGTTGTTTCTACTCTATCTCTCCCAACAATAACATCGTCACCATTATCATGGAATGGTAGCTTGGTTGATTTGACAGTAGAAACTTTTCCAATTGCAAATTTCATGATAATTATTAGAGATTGGTTAGATGTTGTGATGTAAGTATAGGAATAACATTATTAATAATATTGACATTGCTACTTTTACTATTAATTTAATATATTTATTGAAAATATAGTAATAATTGTCAGTATGAATCTGTTGAAGTTATTATGAAATTTATTATTCAAAGTTTTATAATGTATTCACCACCATCATCATTGTCATTATCATCACACAATCAAATGACAATTGGAAATTTGTGTTTTCAGCTTCTAAGATCTGCTGAATTTTATGAATTAGTTCCATTGCGAGGTATACATAAATTTACTTTAAATAAAATATTTAAATTAGTTATTTCTCAAAAAATCTTAATTAATCAATTATTTTGTTTCAGAAAAGTTTCTAAAAATTTTTATGGGAGAAATTTCAAAAACTCTAAAAGATTATCAAGACAACAACAAGAATATTAGCAACAAAAAGAAGAGGAAGAAAACAACTAATTCTATAAAAAATATTACAGAATTAAATTATGCAATTCAAATATCATTAAATTGTTTTCAAGGAGATAAACTAGCAATAACAAAGATGATAAATGAGCAATCTCTAAATGCGATTTTTCCATCATCTACCACCACCACCACCACTAATGTTATCATTAGCATTAAATATATGAAAAAATTAATTGGTTACATTACATTTCTTAATATTATTCCAATGGAATATTTCAAAGAAGATGAAACAAAAATTTTATTTATATTTTTAATTTTGATTGATAAATGGATCACCACCACAACCACTGCCAATATTAGCAGTGATTACAATCAGTTGAAATGTTCTTTGCTATGTAGAAATCTTATATTAAAATTTATAAGATGGAATAGTGGTATAATCATTGATTTTTTGGTAGGCTAAAAAGTATATATATGTGTGTGCTTGTTTTACTGATATTATGAAATTATACATATATATATATATATATATAATATTTTTTTCTTCTTTTCTCAGCAAAATAATAATAATGACGATGATAATGATTTGATAACTTGGTGGATAACTTCCTTAAATGCTACCATATTTCAAGAAATTTCTAGTAGTAATCTTGTAGAAAAAAATGAAATATTTTATGAAAAATTAGTAGAAACTACAAGTCAAATTTTATCAATTACAGTGAAGTGAGTTAATTATTTATTTTATGGTTATTTATTTATTTATTTATTTATTTATTTATTTATTTATTCATTTATTTATTTATTAATAATATACGCATTATTTGAAATTATATTTTTCAAATAGGTATCTTATTCTTAAAAGTAATCAGGAATCAAGTTTAAAACATATAAAAAAACTTGTAGAATTCTTGAAAAGTTGGTCATCTAATGTAATAATAATGGGCGATAATACAATGAAAAATAATAGTAGTGGTACTACAATTTGGAAAATCATTACTGGGATTTTAAAAATTCAACTAGAAAACATTGAAATATTCAAGTAAAGATCCCACTATATTATTATTATAGTTAATTGTTAAATTAATTTTCATACACTCACACATAAACTCGTATAAATTAAACAAATCCTTTCTTTTCTTCTACAAAAAACAATTTGTAGTGAAGTTGAAACATTGAATTGTTTTTATTCGTTGGCTAATCATGTGTCTAGTAAATTGGCACAAATAATTACGCACTATTTAAAAAATATTTTTGATGGTAAACTTGATGACAACACAAAAAAAGATTTAAAAAGTCAAGAAAAACTCATAATAAAAAACTTTACAAGTTTAGATTACGAGTTCAAGGCATATTCAATAGCCTTGCAAACTTTAAACATGTCTAAAAATCATGGATTTAGAATAGAAGACCAAGGTTTATTTATTTACGGTTATATAATATATGTTATGAATAGTAATACATTTATCTAATCATATTAATTGTTTTGTTGACTTTACAAGTTATTTCATTAGTTAGGCTGTCAAAAGAATTGTTTGTTGTTACTAAACAATTAATACAATTCTCAACTTCTATTAATAATAATCATAGCATTATTATAAATTATGAAATCTTAAATAATTGTGTATTAATGACATCAATTCTAATGGAATTTATCTCGAATTTTGAAATGCTTCAAAATAATTTAATAATTGATTTTTGGATTTGGGATTTAATGAGTATTTTATACAATGAAGGTATATTTACACTTGCATAATATATGAGATTACACCATATACTAAATTCATTTATATATTATATAGATTCCCAAAGTGATATTTTAAATGAGATGAATATAATGTATGGAAAATATATTTCAAAATTATCAGAAGTACAATACGGAAAACTTGTGAATGCAATTATGATAAAAGTTGAAGACCTACCACCAACACATTCCTCATCTTCGTCTCTTTCTTTCCAAGAATATAACAATAATAGAAAGTTAAAATTCTTTTTACACTTGATTGACCTACTGTTAAAAAATTCGAAGCATGGTAGTTACTGCATATACATATAATATATGTTTTTATGTTTACATTAATTAATTATATTATTGATATATTTAAAAAAATAGCTCAACTTCGTCAATTAGAAAGAAAACTTCCAAATTTATTATTCACGGTTTATTATTTAGAAGAGTCTTGTGAAAATTTAAAAGCTAGAATACTTATTTTGAAAATTTATAGTTTCATTGTTTCACATAAGGTATTATTATTTATGTGAAAGAATTAAATCAAGAAAATCTACTAATTTTTAATCATTCGATTTCTTTTTTATTAAATAATTAAAAAGGCATTCACATTCCAATCAAATGATATTGGAATTATTTTATCATCAATTATATCAATAACTTCACCTAAACCTATCGTCACCACCCATGCTACTGATGAACAACAACAAGAAGATTATGAAAATCTTTTTAAATCAATTTGTTATCTTCTTCATAATATACTAGCATATAGACGAGAAATATTAATATGTGCATTACCATCATTTATTCAAATACTACAAGATATGTTTCATGGTTTTAAATCAAAAGGAAAAAATATTAATAGTCATTCATTTTCTTATAACAAAAAATTACAACAACAAACTAATTTGAAGAATTTTTGGGATATTAATCTTTCAACATCATTATCAATAGAATGTGGAAATTCATTTGCAAGATTATTAGAAATGGTTAAGCATAAAAATTTTTTTAATAAATATCGCAATAACAATAATAAAAACAACAAAGAGTCAGCATCAAAATTTTCACAGGCTTTTGGTAAATATGTGCCAACGTTAATTAGTAAATATATAAAAATACAAATTGAAGAAGGTTATTTGGATCAATCGACCAGAGAAGCATTAAAAGCAGGAATCTATTCATTGTTAGATTTGTTTGGTGATTATGAAAGAAACATGTTAATGGCAAATTTAGATAAAATTGGAAAAATTTTATTTAAAAATCTTTGGACTGATTATATTAAAAATTGGAAATATGTTGGCAGAGGATAGATGATAATAAATAATAATATATTTAATCTAGAATGATATTTAGGAATAAATCTTATATTTGTTAAAGAGTTCCTTTCTAATTGTAACTAACTAACTAATTAAAGAAAGACCTGAAAACTAGATAGGTTACTGTCGCATATACAGTTTGCTCTGAAAAAATGTCCGTTATAGACAGTAATGAATTATATATTAATATGGACATATAAAATTCTCAGGTCGTTTGTTATAGAGCAAGATCCGTTATTATTTTATAAAAATCCGTTACAGAGAGAGTGAATTGTATTATCCTGCCTTTTTCATCAAACCATGATTTTTCGTTTATAGTTTGTGAGTTTAGTTATAAAATACTGCCTTTTCGTTTTAGGTGTATAAAATTATTTTGAAATTTAAAATATGATTATCTATTATTTATCCTTAAATTGCATTAAAGAAAAAGAAGTGAATCAAAACTTTCCAATCGATGGTTTGCCATACTTACTTGGTGAAAATGATTAGAAATTTCTGTTTACAAAATATCGTAGCTTGAAAGCGGTTTGATCGGCTTTAGTTTTGCATCCGTTGAGTTTGAAGACATGTGATACACTGAAGATGTTTACAATAATTTATATTGATACAATCTTGGAGATAAAAAATTAAAAAATCTAGAAATGATGTCAATCAATATTAATATCAATATTATCACTGTTACCGACTGATACTGGATTGAGAATTGAACGTAAAACTTTCTAAAAATTATCTTTTTCCAATATTCAGATTTTAAAAATGTTATGGAGTTATATCATTCAATAGTTGGGGTTGGGATAACATAAAGAATTGAAAAAAATTTTTTTTTCGAGTGGGCTGATATTTTCAAAATAAGCCCTACCAATTCCTAACATATTGAGATAAGTTTCTTGACAAAGAGGTGTATTGTAATCTCAGTGATATAAAGTTCTTTTACTAGATCTAGTTTTCTTTTTAAGGCGTCTACTAGTGCTTATTGATCCACCACCCATTGCTTTAAGTTGAGCCATTAAAAATATGTCTTGTTCTGTTTGAAAGGATTCTCTTAATTCTGCAAATTCAAATTAGCCAATCAGAATTTTGTATCCAAACACCCTGCCCCAAAAAATTTAATTTTCACGCACAAATGTGTTGCAAAAATAATTGGCCAAAAATCATGTGATTTAAAACGTGATAACTTTTCATGTAAACAATAAAATTATTGTATTTTATAAACTTGTTTATTTTCCTTTTTTCTTATTCCTGACATCATTTTTTTAAAGTTTGTTACTACATTATTGAAAATAAGGTTATAATTATGTCATCATCAGATCTAGAATCACAACGTCAGACTATCTTATACTTTTGGAAGAAAGGTGCCTATAAATCCCAAGAAATTCACAAATTAACAGGGTTGCGGGTGACGAAACTAATTACGGGCATTGAAATTAATTACGGGCGACGAAATTAATATGAATAACAACGAATTAATTATTGGAAATATCATAATACAAGTCACTCCCGTTATAACAACACTCTCCATACAAACAAAAAATGTCAGTATGACGAGAATGTCATTATAACGGGAGTTCATATAGAATCATTATCATGTGATTTTGTAATTTTATTTTTATTATATATATATTTTTTATTTCATTCATGCTTTATCAGGGAATTTAAAACTTACGCCGGTCAATCTTGATCCCGGTGTAAGTTTTATTTCCTTATGTTTTTTCAGAAATGAGAATGATTTTGATTGGTTCTCCCATTATACTGACATGTTGTTATAACAGAATAAATTCTATAAAATAATATGTGTCATTTAATTTCGTCATTCATAATTGATTTCATCACGCGTAATTGATTTCGTCACCCGTAATTGATTTCGTAATTAATTTCGTAATTACATATTAGTCAAACGATTTGTCACATTAAATGATTGGGAAGTGTATTTTCCAAAATTTTCTGTTACATATAGACAGTATCGTAGTTCATCATATTAACCCATTGGCAAGGAAAATTTATTGCCTGCATGGATATTACACTATATGGGTGGAGTCCCTAAAGTGTAGTTATTTAGTACTACAGAAGTTTCATGTCCACATAAAAATGATGACTTTACATATGTACTGATAATATATGTATTTTGATATAGCTGAAAACTAATACATTATATTTTTATTTTAGTTCAAAGTTTCTTTTGAGGGAGTTTTCAGTCTTCATGATCTTGGTTTGTTAAAACAAATAGAGAGAAATCTCTTAACTTAAATCAAATTAAAGATAATATAGAAATGTAAACTTAATAGATATACAACTCACCTCTATCAACATTTGTGTTCTAGTGTAGATAAGATATGTGTTAAAGAATTATCCTGGAAAGATCCCTTGGCTATCCAGTTATTAGTGATAATTCAGATATTGTGAAGAAATTACCCAATGGCTTAGAAAAAGGTTTCATAGTAAATTAATTTCTTATTAATTTCAGGATCATATTTCATATTACTTCAAGGAGCTATAGTACACATGCATAATCTTATGAGATTCTGATTTTTTTTCTGCATTCACTATTTGTTTTATTTGTTATTAGAATTATTAGAATTTGTTTTATTACACAGTGAATCTTGATTTAGTGGATAGTTTGGACAATTAGTGAAAATTTTCCAAAAATCCGTTAAACCAAGATATCCACTATATTGGAAAGGTTTTTATTAAGGTTTATTATGGAACCATTCTTAGAACTTTATCCATAAAATGAGAATCCACTAAATTGAGTCTGCTAAATTGAGATTTACTCTGCAGCTTATTCATTTATTCATTCATTTTTATTTGTTTTTTATTTGTTTTGTTTATTCATTTATCTGAATCACCTGACCATTCATATTATTTGTTTATTTGAATCATTCCAATCATTCATTCTATTTGTTTATTTGAATCATTCCTTTTATTACTTTATTCTCTAAATTGAGCAGACTCAAGTTAAACTCCAATTTTCAAGTTCAAGCTGAGTTCAAGAAAATAGACTCTTAAATTGTTTTTTAAGTAATGTGCATAAAATAAAATAAAAGTATTATAATTAATCATTTGTTACTTAAAAAGACTTGAGCTTAGCCTATTACTTCTTGGCATTATTTATTTTTTCAAAAAAAAAAAGGGAAAGAATAATAAATATTTAATATTAAAAATATGAGGCATTCAGGAAATCCCCCATTCATAGATATTTTTCACCTGCCTCCAAGTAAATATAATAGGGCTTGTTTACAATTTAGGATTGATGGATTAGGCCATGGCTTAATGTCCTTCCTCAAGAGATAGATAAAACAATGGTGCATAATAAGAATAGAGTTGTGGGTGAAACTCCTCCAGAAATCAATTGGCAGAGTTTCAACAGGTTACACATTAACTGTTTATTAGAGTTTCATCAGAGTTTTGACAGGTATATACTAATTGTTCAATAGAGTTTTATCAGTTTTGACAGTCACTAGCAAGCAACCTTAAATGAGAAACTAGTTTCCTTCAAGAGATATAGTCAAGTGTGTGATTTTAAATATGTCACATTGGAAATTATTTCATCATAAAAAAATTATTTTATGATTATGAATTTGAACAAACTATTATGAAAATAAAAAAAAACAAAATTTATATTGGATAAGATTTTATTTTTTAAATAACTTAATTAAAAATATTTTTAATCTAATTATAATTATTTAAATTTTAGAGTTATATTATTGAAGATTTTGAAATTAACATCTTTGATATAATTAAATTAAAAAAATCTTGTAATTCATATTTTATAATTTAATCTGGAAACCAAGTTGTGAATTGATAAGTTTTATTGATTTTTTCACCAGATGGGAGAATTGCTTCATGAGTAATTATTTTAGAGCTTGTGGAATTAGATATAGAAGTCTGATTATTATTGTTATTAATTGTAATTAACTGATCATTCTGAATATTATCATTATCACTATTATTATTACTATTATTGTTTTTCAAAATTTTGATATTATTATCATCAATGATATCTTTATGACTAGTATCTACTACAGTTTCAGTATTACTATCACTATTGGTATATTTGTAGTTATTATCGTTGTTTGAAATGATTTCAATATTACTAGTAAATACATTTTCATTTTCATTATGAGTTTGTTGATTTAATTCTCTGTCTTTTTCATCATCACTGACAACAACATTATTAACCATTTCATTGGATTTCTTTTTTCTTCTATATAAGATAAGAATAGAAATAAAAGCAATGATGAAGATTACACCAGATGTAACTGATCCAATAATTATACCAGTTGCACTGGTAGTTGTATCTATTGAAGGATTAGCAGTGCTAGCAATGATTCTAGGATCAAATGTGTCTAGCCATTTATAATTATATTTGTCACTAATATCTAACAATAAAATATTTTCATAATCCCCAGCACCAGTAATCCAACCTATTATTATTATTAAATATAAATATAATTAATATAAATAAATAATATATTTATGTATGAATTTCAAAGATTATTATCATAAGTTACCAAATGAGATTATCATGTAATTTTTATATAAATTTGAAGTATGGAATCTATGTGCTTTATCAATTAGATTATAAGGATAATTAGTAATGTTTGTTGGAACTGTCCATTGGAAAGGAGATTTTGTTACATCTAATATTGCTAATTTGTCTGATTGTTTAGTGCCACCATACACAATTATCCTTCCATCAGGTGCTAAAAATAAATAAATATTATATATATTGAAAAAATATATTTGATTAAAATAATTACAATAATAATTAATTTACTTAATACTGAAGAAAACCCATCTCGTGTAGAAGATACATCACCAACTGTTTTCTAATATAACTAATATTTATTAATATCTTTTAGTTGAAAATATTGTTATGATGATTATATAACTTACAATATTGGACCATGAATTTTGATTAATATTATACAAGTATATCTAAACATAATATGTATTATTAGAAAATATAACATTTTCATTCCTTTTATTTTAATTAA